CAAGTGTTTTTATTGATTTTCTTTGCCTCAATTTTTGAATTTTCTATCATAAAAGATGTGTTGTCTTTGTAATAAGAAGAGCGGGGTTTTCTTTTTATTATTTAAAATGTTTGTTAACTATTTGCGTTTTCATGCTATAGACGAAGGTCAGCTAACTTTTTCTGTCAAGGGCCAGGTAATAAGTACGTTAGTCTTTGTGGACCAGATGGTCTTTTTCACAACTGTTCAACTCTGCTGTTACAGCACAAAAGTAGCCAGACATGACACATGAATAAATGAACATGACTGTGTCCAATAAATTTTATTTTCAAAACAAGGAGGCAGGCCTAATTGGCCCAGAGGATATTGTTTGCTACCCCAGCTGTAGGCACTTTGGGGCCTAGATCAGCTGAAGGCCGGCATCCCTGGGAGCTTAGGTATTTGCAAGCTCTTTTTCATTGCCTTTCTCTTCCAGTGCACTTAGAAAACGCCATATAATGATGAAATCCACATTAGCAAGAAAATGTATACTCTTTGCACAGTGTTCAAGACTGTTTTCCCTCATTTTAAAGCCATTTTTAAGGCTATTAATCCATTGTCTTTTTGACTTTTTCTTTCTTCCATTAAAAAAAAGAAAAAAGGCTCTTATTTGGCAAGTGTTAGGATGCTAACACTTGAGTTAAAGAGAAATTAAATGCTTAAGGATATTTTTTGTGCTGAAATAGTCATTTCTGCAGTTCAATATAGGTAAAATAGGTAACAAGGCCTTTTTTTTTTTTTTCTTTTCTTTTCTTTCCAAATTAAGCTTCAGATGCTAAACAAATTTCATGCTCCTGAAAGGGGTGGATAAGTCTCATGTAGACAAGTGAAATCTACTGATTATCCCCATACCTGCTTTAAGAAATAATCTCAGGACCTCCTAAAAATTAAATACTCAAACTCATCAAAAGACTTCGCCAAGAGAGTAAAAAGACAGCCTACAGACTGGAAAAAAAGTCTTTAGCAACGACATATTTGATAATGGTCTAATCTCTAAAATATATAGAAAATGTCAAAAACTCAACAACAAAAAGACAAACCAATCAAAAATGGGCAAAGGACATGAACAGACACTTCACCAAAGAGAACATTCAGGTGGCCAATAAATACATGAAAAGATGCTCATGATCATTAGCCCTTAGAGAGATTCAAATCAAAACTACAATGAGATAACATCTCTCCCCTGCAAAAGTGGCACTGATCAAAAAAACAGAAAACAACAAATGCTAGTAAGGTTGTGGGGAGATTGTAACTCTTATACATTGCTGGTGGAATTGTAAAATGGTACAACCACTATGGAAAACATTATGGTGCTTCCTCAAAAAGCTAGAAATAGAAATACCTTATGATCCAGCTATTCTACTCCTAGGTATATATCCTAGAGAAATAAAATCAGTGATACAAATAGACATATGCACACCTATGTTCATTGCAGCGTTATTCACAATAGCAAAAGACAGAAACAACCTAAGTGCCCATCAGTGGATGAATGGATAAACAAATTGTGGTACATACATACAGTGGAATATCATGCAGCTATAAAGAATCATGAGTCTGCAAAACATAACATGGATGAATCTGGAACACATTAGGCTGAATGAAATAAGTCAATTACAGAAAGATAAATATTGTATGGTCCCATTATTTTAAAAAGCCAGGAATAGACATTTTGATGGTTAAGGTTGTGTGTCAACTTGGTTGGGCCATGATTCTCAGTGCTTTGGAAGTTATGATGTCATTTGGCAACTAGGTAATGATATAATCACCTCCATGATAAGATCTGATATAATGTAATCACCTCCATGATGAGATCTGCCACGAGCAGCCAATCAGTTGAAAGGCAGTCTCTTTGGAGATGAGGCCTGCATCCAATATATGTGGACTTTCTGGCAAAGCTCGTGGGCTTTTGCTTGCTCTGGATCCTGCAGCTGACTCCTGTTATCTGACCTCCAGTTCTTGGGACTTGAGCTAGAAGCTTCCTGTCAATTTTGGGATTCGTCAGCCTCCACAGTCTGTGAGCCAGAGACCTACTGTCTGACCTGCCAATTTTGAGTTTGCCAGCCCCTGTGGCTATGTGAGTCAGGAGAAGCCTCCAGCCTGACTCATGGACTTAGGACTTTCCAGCCTCTACAACCACATGAGCCATTTCCTTGATATAAATCTCTCTCTCTCTCCCTCCATCTCTCTCTCTTTCTCTCTACATATATATATTTAAGAAATAATCTCAGGACCTCCTAAAAATTAAATACTCAAACTCATCAAAAGACCTTGCCAAGAGAGTAAAAAGACGACCTACAGACACACACGTATATATGTACATACATATAACCCAAACCAAACTCACTGCTGTTGAGTCAATTTTGACTCATAATGACCCTATAGGACAGAGTAGAACTTCCCCATAGGGTTTCCAAGGAGCAGCTGATGGATTTGAACTGCTGACCCCTTGGTTAGCAGCCAGACGCTTAACCACTGCACCACCAGGGCTCCATATACACATATACATATACTTACATTCACACACACACAGACACATGCTTCACTGGTTTTGCTTCTCTAGAGAACCCAGCCTAAGACAGATACACACAAAAAACAAAGTTCTTTGATGGTTACTAGGGATGGGAAGGGGAGGGAGAGGGAATCACTTTCCAGATAGTAGACACTTGTTACTTTTGGTGATGAGAAAGGCAATACCCAATATGGGTGAAGTCAGCACAGCTTGACCAAGGTAAAGAAAGACACTAAGAAGTACATGAGAAAAAGGGACAAGTTCAGTAAATGCTATAACATATACAATTTTGCAACAACAGTAAAAACAACCAAAAAATATGTGTGTAGTTACATAGCTAGATAAGGATGCATATATGTGTATAGGAGGTGTATGGAGTAAATGCACGTGCATGTATAGGTGTATCTGTAGGCATATGTCTATACACATTTGTGTGTGCTGCATATATATCCACATATATAACAAACCACATAGGGAGCACAGTTACAGAGGCTTCCTAGACATATCCAAACAACTCATGGGATTGGCTTACTGGGTTAAAAGGCTTGGAATCATAGTCTTGGGGGAGAGCTTAGTCAATTGGCATAACAAAGATAATGTTCTACATCTGAGTTTGGTGAGTAGTGTCTGGGGTCTTAAAGCTTGTGAGCATCCATCTAAGATACAACTATTGGTCTGTACTCATCTGGAGCAAAAGAGAATGAAAGAAATCTAAGGCTCAAAGAAGAATCTAGTCCACAGGACTAATAGCCCACATGGACCACACCTTCTTCAAACCTGAGACCAGAAGAACTAGATGGTGCTCAGCTCCCAGTACTGACCATTCTGACCAGAAACACAATAGAAGGTCCTGGATAGAATGGGAGAAAAATATAGAACAAAACTCAAATTCCTAAGAAAGGCCAGACCTACTGGA